CATCCACCGCCCCGCCACGGGGTCTCAGTCCGCAGCCGCCGCCGCGCTCGGCTTAGGTGCAGCAGCCACTACCGCTGGTCCTCTGTGCGAGAGAGCATCCCCAGGCAGTAAGCTCGCTTTCTCCCTGCGAGTGCGTGCGTGCTTGCCTGTGTGCCTCCCGCCCGCGTCCTGGGGAGCAGCTGCCCTCCTGCCCCGCCGCCGCCGCGCCGCCGCTGCCGCCGCCGCCGCCGCCGCCACCGCCGCCACCGCCGCTCAGGTCTCCGCCGCCCGGCTGCTGGGACCTACAGAGCAGGGTACCTGCGGCCTCGGGCCTGGGCGCCTGCGCGGCGGCGGGGGCTCCCTAGGCTGTAGCCAGCGGGGTGTGAGACGAGGGACGGGAAGATCCCTCGGGTGCGTGCCTCGGCCTCCCCAGGGCTTTCGCCGCTGGGAGGGTGAGGAGGGAATGGGGCGGCAGTGGGAGGGCGGGAGTAAGGTGGGGTCTCTCCATTTCCCTCCGCGGGGGACGGTGGGGAAGGGGAGGGAGTCAAGGAGTGCTTTGGGTTTTGCACAAGGGATAGCGGGCAGTGGGGGCGGGGTGAGGTGGGGACACCTAGTGGTTTTTTCAGAGGTAGCTAGAGGGGTTGTGGGGAGCGGGTGTAGAGGAAGTGTGGGGCTCCCTTGGGCTTCTCATCGAGGATGGCGGCTATTGGGGAAGGGGGAAGGAAGGGGACCTGTCTTGGTTAGGTCCACAGAGATGGCAGGGGTGGGAGGGACTGGAGGTGAGGGGCTCTCCTCGGTTTGCTTCAGGGGGATGCTGGCTGTGGTGCGACGAGTGGGGGGTGGGGGCGGGGTGCAGAGAGAATGAGGACTCCCCTCCCGCGGTTGTGCTCTCCTAGAGGGTAGCAGGGGGTGGGGAGCGTGAGGGATTTCTGCTCTAAGTGTGGCTAGAGAATTGTCACTCAGGGTGAGCCTTAGAAGGTGGGTTTTCAAAATTGCAGAGTGTGATCTTTCTGTCTCGAAAAGCTTGAAATCTGACAGAGTGCAGCCTTCTGTACTGGAGTCCGTCCAGGAGACAGGTTTCTGCTCTTGAAGTTTCTCTCTTCTAGTCCTCTGGCCTCTGAGTCTTCCAGGACTAGGTAGAGATTTGAATATTGCGTGGGCTGTGTTATTTTCTGAGTTTCTCATGTTTGTTTTGATTGCTCTTTACAATAAAAATCTTGTACTCGACAGACCCCTTGGGAAAATGAGAGAACAAGGTCTATTAATGGGATTCCAAGTTTGGGTTTGGAAATTCCTGAAGAGTAAGAGATACACCGTTGGGGCACTTTGTGTGTTTTTAAAAAGAGGTACTAGGATATGGGGCACTTTGTGTGTTTTTAAAAAGAGGTACTAGGATAAACGTATATCTTTGCTGGAAATCCCTTGTACTATTTATTTAAATTATTCCACTGGGACTATCTCAGTTCCCTTTGATTTGAATTTGGAATGGATCCAGTTTTCCTAATTGGAGCCATCATTTTGTAATTGCTTGTAATGCTTCTCTGGGTTATCAAATGTATGGCAAGCTTACAGAACACCAGGAACAATTTTTTGTTATCTTGATTAAGGAAGTTTTATTGTAAATGTTATGTTGTTCTTTTGAAAATGTGAACATTTGCAGAATAGCACAAGTTTTAAATGATTGGTTCTTTGGAATTTTATAAAGCCTTGCATCTCAGCTCATCCCCAGAAACAAACCCATTCCATTCCTTACAATGAAAAAAGAAAAGGCTTCTCATGGTAGCTTTGCCTGTAGAAACTCATATTTGCTTAAGAAGAAAACATATTAAATAGGCATCAGCCTTTAATGTGGTAGGGCTATAATACTTTCCCACTCTAGTTCCATAAGGTTCCAATCTAGTCTTTACTTTCTGTCTTTAAAATGCATATTTAACATTTTAAAGGGCAAATGTAATCTTTATGCAATGGGAAATTGGTCAGATAGTTGGGTCATGGTTTGTACAAACCATCTCACTATAAGTACATGGTCTAAGACTACTATATAGATTCTGTAACCATAGATGGTTTTTGAAATTCTAGGCTTCCATTCCTATATTTAATTTTTGGAGAAGAAAACTATTTTGTCAAGCAAGTCTAGATTGTCAAGTAAACTTTTAAGAGATTCTGTAAGATGTAACTGGGTAGAATTTGCTTCGTATAATATCAGTGCATTGGAACCAATTTAATATATGTTAAGCTAAAGAATTACTTGAATAAGATAAGGACTTTTTTTAGTGGAAATATTCAAGTGGAAATAGAGTTTGAGTCTGGAAGATTGATGAAAATGTAATTATTTCTCTGACCATGTGTACCACATCTAAAATTTATGTGGTATGTTTTCTGTGTACACTTAATGGTAAATGACATACTTTTACAATACAACCTGAGCCTTATTATTCTGAGGGACAGAATGCTGAAAGAGGTAAAATCTTTTACAAAGAGCAGCATGTTGGAGGGAGGTGGCCCTTAAGTTTCTCACAAAGTAAAAGGAATGTCTTTTACTAGACTTTTTGAGAACCTGTTCTATGTATGGGACAGGAGAGGAAAAAAAAAGACAAAGACATTTCAAAAGTTAACAAAAGTTATGATGAATTAATCTTTTTGAATAGTCCTAAAGTTTTTATTTTCCAATAGTCATTCAAAAGATAATTTGTAAATGAAGCCTTTTTGAGAAATGCACCTTCACCTCTAAAGTTTGGCCATTTAGAAAATAGCCCTTTGTTGAAGGCCCAGCAGCTAATCTGAGAGTCCTGCTCCCTGTTTTCCTACTCTCCACTCTTAGTTCCCTTTTTGTCTACATCCCTCCCTTTTCCCCCTCTGGTGCAAGTAATACTGGCTTTTATAGCCTAGTGGGAGTTGAACAAACGTTCCTGCTTGCTTGAACTTTAGGTCTTATCTCTTTGGCTGCTTTCCCTAACTTTTGCCTACATGTTTTTTTCTTGGTTAATTGAACTACCCAGTTGTTTGGATTTGGGGTAAAAGGAGATTGTAATTATTTTCTCTTAAGAGATCTTTTCTTTCAGATCCTGTTGGACAAGAGCAGAGAAAGGTTCTCTTTGTCAGCAAAGTACTTCATTAAACAGAGTATATGACTATTTATTCAACATGTATTTACTGAATTACATCCTCTGTTGGAGGCTCTTTGCTGGGTTCAGGGATACAAAGTGGGTAAGAAATGATTCCTGTCTTTGCAGTGTGGTTATTAAAATGAAAAATAGTGAACCTGTAGTGTATAATCAAGAGCTATCTGGTATCTTTGAACAGTACCATAGTCACTATGTACATGCTTCAACCATGCACAGTGGAGTAATTTCTTCCAGTGACTTATTCACTGCATAAATTTGACCTCACCTTCCCAACCAAGATATACTTCTTCATTTTTGGTTATACAGTCACCACTCTGTGTCCTTGGATTCTACCAACCAAGGACTGAAAATATTTGGGGAAAAGTTGTATCTTTTCTGAGCATTTACAAACTTTTTTTTCCAATACAGTGTAATAACTCTGTACATAATATTGACATTGTATTAGCAATTATAAGTGATTTGGAAGTCAATTAAATATATAAAAAGATGTGTATGTCATATAAAAATAATATGCCTTCTTATCTGAGGTACTTGAGCATTTGTGGACTTTTGTATCCACAGAATTTTCCTACAACCAATCCCTCATAATGTAATATGGTATATCACTCATCAGAGTCTGTAGTCTCATCCTTTTAAAAATATTAATCAAGACATAAGGGCTGGCCAAATAGCTCAGCAGATTAAAGCACCTGCAAGCAGGTGCAGGGGCCAGGGGTTCAATCCCCAGGCCTGCTGTGCTGGCCCCGCCCCTGGGACACGCTAAGATGGCAATTGAGACTGGACGTGGTGGCACAAGCCTGTAATCCCAGCTCTTGGGAGGCTGTAAACAGGCGGATCACTATGAGTCCGATCTCGTAGTGAGACCCTGAACATTCTGTAGACCCTTCCCTAAAATAACAAAAAACATAATTGTATGCATTTGTGGGATAGATGTGATAGTTTTATACATGGATTCAATGTATACCAATAAATTTTGTGTAAAGCTAAATTTTGTGTAAAACAAAGAAACATAGCATGTTTCTTGATGCTCAGATTCAGCTCTAAGTCACTCTATACAGTAGTGAGAAGTGGCTGGCCAGCATCCGTGTAATTTAGAACATCTTCTGATGGCAAATTGGGCTCCTAGATTATTTTTGTGTGACCAACTTCGAACTATGGATGTGACTGGATGATGGTGCCAAGACGACTAAATAGTACCAACTAGTCGCTCCATTAACCCATGACCTTCTGGAAGGCTGGCCTGAGATCTTAGCGAATGTCTGTTTTTGTGGATTGTATTAGACCAATGACTTTCAGCCAGGAGGACTTTGCCACATGGGTTATTGGATAGTGTCCAGATGCTTTGCCAAATGCACTTGCTCTTATCTGGTATAGCGGCCCGGGATGCTGCGTAAATATTCTGTAATTTACAGGGCAACCTAAACTGTCAATAATGTCAGTACTACAATTTCCTCTACAAAATGCTGTAAAATGTAAACTCTAAAAGAGTAGAGCATGTCACTGAATAGTTGGCTGAGCTCACTTGAGTAATCTTAAAAGGACCAGTTCTTGCACAGCAACCTAAACAATTAGAATAATTAGCAGCTACCATTGATTGTAATGTTAGGCACTTGTATATATTATATATTCTTCATTTTATAATCAAGGAACAAAGCTTAGAGAGGTACTTCACTTACCCTAGGTCTCATAGCTGTCGTGGTTGGAAGGAGAAATCAAAATTAAGATCATCTTATTCCCGGCCGGGAAGATGGCTCAGTGGAATAAGTGCTTCCGTGGCAAGCACAAGGGCCAGAGTTCAATCCCTGGTAAAAAAATAAAAATCATCTTATTCCTCTGAAGTTCATGGTTTTGAGCACAACTTTGTACTGTTTCCCTTGAGGAATGCACCATTCAAAATCTTACTTAACACGATGAAAATTACTGCGTGTCCCATATACCATTCAGCTTGCTTGAGAGTAATTAAAACCATGGGTGTTTAATTTGGTCATGGCTTGGAGTGTCAG